AAGCAGTGGGGCAGCCAGCAAACATTTTCAGTGTCCAAGCACCTCCTCCATGCAAATGCTTTCTCTCAAGCATGTATATGGCATGCTTTGTCTCAAGCATTTGGTAAATGCAAATCTCTACTCCACATCTTCAGCAGGCTTCAAAATGTTGTTTCTCATATCTACCAGCTCTGTTTTGGACAATGCCTGGGCTTTGTCCCAAAGAAGGTTGATAACTTCTTTGTGCTCTTTGCCAGCCTTGTGGGCCTGCAACTCTGAGCAGGACACCAGCAGCTTCCATTTGGAACCCTCTTTGACTTGGATCTAGGATTGTTTTTTGGCAATTGTCTTCTTCAATGTCTTTTCAGGGGCACTTGCACCTGCAGGGGTTTGTGCTTGGCTTTGTTGCAAGCCAGTGCTTTCTTTTGCACTTGCTGTGGGTTTGCAAGCTGGTTTCTTATGTGGGTGGCTTTCTTGCAAGCCATCTGCAGTGGTTGTTGCCTTTGCTTTTGCATTGCCAGCTGCAGCAGGGTGTTTTTTGTTTTGTTGCCTTTAGCTTCTTTTTTTCTCCTCTCTGCCTCAGCACAATGCCTTTCTGGAAACTGATGGCATGAGTCCTGAGCTTCTTCCAGCAACTTCTGCTGTAACCCTTGAAAATCAAGCCTTTTCTTCTTAGGGCAAAGTGTAGGCAAAACTGCAGTTGCCTTCTCAGCAGGTTTGGCTGGGCTGTCATGCACACTGCTGGCTGATGGTGTGTTTACACCTTTCAGCATTGTAGGAAAACCTTGGCTGTCTAAGCTGACAGCAGACACTTCTGCCTTTAGTTTCCTCTTTGTGGTGACAGCTGGCTGGCTGGGCTCTCCCCCACCCCTTGCCAGACCAGGTTTCAATTTGGAAAGCTTTTGCACAATCTCGCTTTCAGCCTTGGTTGCTTTTGCCAAGCAATTCTGCAACCTTTGGGGCTCATACCTCAGCCTCCTCCAATGTGCCAAAAGTGTTGCCATGGAGGTGGCTTTGTTCATGGACCAAATGGAGACCTTGTAGGTGGTATCATTGCAGGAAGGAAACTCAGAAATCACTTGCTGCAATTGGGTGGCTCTTATTTCACCATTTGAAATATCGACCAGCTGCTCAATGAGCTTTGCATTTTGGCTTAAGCCTGCTGGGTGGGGGTGGGTTGATTTGGTCAAAGTGTTGTAAACTCCCAAATCAAAAGTTGCTTCCTTGAGGCTTTTGAACCTTTCTTTGAAAATTTCTCTTAAATCTTCTAAGTCCACCACTGGAATTGATTGCCTCCTGCTCCCACCCCTTTTAACTTCATTGGCCATTCCAATAGGCTTTATTTCAAGCCTATACCTTTGCAACTAGGCTGTATCTCAAGCCTGCACTTGAAAGTCAAAACAGGTAGCTGCTGCATGCAAAGTGATCCATGGGCCAGCAAACCAACCCTGTTAACAAGAATCAATTACAACCAGAAACAAACCACTAGACAAGTAAGGCTACCAAGCAAGATACAAACAACCAAACAAGGAAGGCCAACCAAACAATTGAACAAACAAATACTCAAGACAACCAGCAGCCACCCAAACCAACCTTTTGCTACCCTTTTCCAAGTCTTGCTTGCTCAGCGCCAGACTTTTTCTCAAGCCTATCCTTCCTTTCCTTTGTCTTTGCCACCACTGGTGGGCTTGCTTTTGGTGGGCTTGCTTTTGGTCTTGCCACCACCTTTGCCTTTTAGGCTTTGTTCCAAGCCTTTACCCTTTCCTTTCTCATCTTGGTGGGTGCCTTTTAGGCTTTCTTCCAAGCCTTTACCCTTTCCTTTCTCATCCCCACTGCTTCCAGCACCCTTGCTGTCTGGGACCCAAACCCACACCATGGTTGCCAGCTCTTTCTTACAGACTGGGCAACTGGGTGGCACCTCACAGCAAGGGCACCATCCTCCTTCCTCTTCTCCTGGCTTTAAGCTATGCCAGCCTCGCCTCATGTGGCATGAGCCCCAGTGTTGGCCTAGGGCTTCAAACTTCACATCCTTGGGCTGCTGCATAAGGCTTTGTTTCAAGCCTGAAAGAACAGGCTTTGTCTCAAGCCTACCAGTGCTACAGTTTGAGAGCTAAAACCTAAAAGAAAAGGCAACAAAAACAAGTTTAAACCCTGTTTGAAAAAATCAATCTGGATTGGAAAAAACCAATCTCCAGATTGGTTGCTCCAGATTGAATTTTTCAATCTGAGATTGGTTTTTGTTCGACCAGTTGGGATTGATTTTTTCAATCCAGAAAACCAATCTCTCGGCAACCAGACTAGACCAATCCAGATTGATATTTTTCAATCTAGGATCCTCAGGGGAGGTTGTGAAACACAAAGGTCGAGCCGTGCCCAGCATTCTAAATTCTGAAAAGGTCTTGCAAAATCGCTCTGGTAGCCATAGAGCTCGAAGCTACCTGGAGCGTTCATCCGGGCAGAGACGTCTGCCTTCAAAGCATCGAATGGCCGCTTGGCCGGAAGCTGAGGCAAGGGCTCGTCTGCAATGCCTTGTGGGGTCGTTGGAACTATTCTGGACAGGTCTGGCTGTCCATCATCATCATCACCTGTGAGGTCAACTGGCTGGTCTGGTAGTGCTTGAGGCGGTGATGGATCAAGGCCATGCGGTGTGAGCCACCCAGCCGCATTGTTAGGCGCACTCTCACCATCACCTGGATGTGGTGCTGAAGGTTGCGAAGGGTCAAAAGACTCTCTTTGATCTTGGATCGCCAGCGCCTCAGGTGGCATGTAAGGATCGGTCAGCGTGGCCGTCCTTTCAGTTCTTCGAACTGATGTGGGTGTCCTTGACCTGGCTGGTCGAACACGTCTGCTTGGAGTGAATGGGGCTGGAACAGGAACCGAAGAGGTGCTGTCAGCCTTTCTGCCAAAAACATTTTGGGTGATGTTCTGATGCATGTGTATGACAGTCTGTGGTGTTTGTGGTTCCAAAGGCTGTCCTGGATGATCCGGTGGATCTGGTTCTTCTGCAGCTGCTGGACTCTTCTTGGGCAGCGGCAGAACAAGTGGTTCATGTGGTGGTGGTTCATGAACCTCAGGTGTTGTCAGCGGTGCATCCACTGACGGAAAGTCTCCATCAGCCAGTTCAAAGGCTGCTGCATCTTCTGGCGGGATCTCGGGCTCCTCATCGGGCAATGGTGGCTCTGCCTCTGGAGGTAGTCGATGATCCTGCCAAAGGTCGCTGCGGATGTTGTCTTCTGCAGCTTTGAGCGCTTTGACATCTTCACGGGTTGGAACATACTCCTCATACCCAAAAACATTGCGCACTTGATTTGGTGCCACTTTGATGGTGTGGCTCCCGGACTGAATCCAGTAACTGCTGTTGTCTGGATCTTTGCCCAAGTATCTTGCAATTCGGTAGCCACCTCGTTTTCTGTGGCTTCTGACCGTCCATCTCCAGTAGGCCAAGAGCGACCCAGGTTCTGGTGGTTCAGCAGGCTGCTGATTGGTCTTCCTCAGCAGTGCGCGTCTGAGGGTGGAGGATGCTTCGGCCAGGGCCTTGTAGGCCTCACATCTCATCATTGCGGCCTGTTGCTGTGCTTCAGACCTCGAAGAACCTGCAATCAAAGCTCTTGGGTCGTTGATGAAGTCAAGTCCTACCCTTGGGATCTTTCCGAAGGCAGCGATGAATGGAGGGCGACCTGAAGTCCAGGTTGCTGAGTTCTTGGAGTATAGGGCCGAGACGATTGCATTGTCTAGGTCCTCTGGTGTGCTGCATGGGGTTGAGTCAACGATCTTTTCCAGCAGCATTCGAAGTGTGCCGTTGTGGCGCTCTATGGTGCCCAGCTTGAAGTGAGCTTCCGGAGGGATGAAGTCCAAAAAGACTCCTCCTTCATCGCAGTAGTCCATGAAGTTGGACTTGAATGCGCCATCATCATCCACTGAAAGTCTCAGCGGGAATCCAAAGTTTCTCACCCAGGCATTGCGGAAGGCCTGAGCTAGGTGGATCGGCTGTCTGGAGTCCAGCCTGATTGCTGCGTGAAGATGTGTGGCTTCACATATGATGCCAAGGACTGGATGGTTCCTGGATGTGGCATCTCTGAGGTAGAAGATGTCTGCTTGCAAATTGTCTGCGAATTGTCCCAAGTACTGGGGATGTGATGAAGCTGGGTTTGGCGGCTTGGGAGGCTTTGCTTGTTCGCAGGCCGAACAAGTCATAGCCTTGGTGCACTTGATCACCTGGTCACTGGTAATGCCGTTCAAACAAAACAGCTTGATCGTCTCATTGGGCGGCAAATGTCCCATGTTCTTGTGCATCCTGGCAACTGACGCTTTGATGGTGCGATCGATGCCAGGGGTGTTTGGGAAGAAGATCTCATCGTGGAAGATCTCCTTGGTGGGATTCTGGCGGTGCTCTGCTTGTTGTGGCTCTTGGTCATGCAAGGCTGCTTCCTCTCCTGGAATGCCAAGATGCTCATCAGACAAGCTGGGATAGCCGTAGAAGAAGATTGCCAGTTCCACTGGAGCTTCGAATCTACCCCGTGGGAAATGGATGTCGGCTAGGTCCTCCGCCATGATGGAAAGGTCTTCTCTTCCCACAAACTTGAGCACATGACCTCGGTGTGTGTGAGGTACGTGCTGTGGCAGTCGTTGTACCAGTGGTCGCAAACAAACTTGCAACCTGGTGATCTCCCATGGCAGTAGCTCTTGAATCTTCTTGTATAGGCCGCTGGAGGCCTCAAGAATGATGTTGTTCGTTGAGGATGAGGTAAATAGAGTTCTGGCTTGGGCGATCACGTCTTGCCATGGCTTCTGGTCCAACACTGGCTGGGTGAAGGTGGCATAAACCTTCTTGAGGTCGGATTGCGCTGCCTGGCCACGTATCGAACACCCTTGAGGATAGAGGTGATCAGGCGTTGAGGGTACTCCTGCGAGAGTGTGGTTTCTTTTCCCTCAAGTGGCACGCGCAACTTCAACTCTTCTGCTGAAAGCTTGTCCTGGAGGAAGGTGAGAATGTCCTTGTTGTTGGAGGCAAAACGAAAGGTCTTACGGATGGGGTTGCCTTTCGAGTTCATAGCTCCATAAGCCCCTGAATGGCAGGTGACTGTCTGTCCTCCGGTGTCTTGCAGCATGGATTGGACACTTTCCTCGTCCCACAAACGGCTAGTCTGAGGATTCTCTATGAGATAGTAGCGTCCTGCTTGGCGCTGCATTCGACACCACTGCATGGCTTCTTCAACAACAGGCCTCTCCAAAGCACGTCTCTCGGCCAGTTCTTCAGGCCTGTCCTTGTAGTTGGTGTTGTCCTGCATCAAGATCCATGGTGTGCAATGGAGTTCAGCAATCAAAAACAACGGAAGCAGCTGCCGGATGGTTCTACGGACTGCTGCCTGGTGATGTTCTGTTGCTAGGTCAAAACCTGTGCTGTAGTCCATGGGTGTGCATGCTATGAGGTCATGCCTGGTGGCTTGCAGTGAGATGCGTCCTCGGCCGGCAAACACTTCAAGTATATCGCTTCTTGAGCGATTGGTTTTGTGTTTTGTGGCTAGGGCCTCATACATGGTGCACTCTGCTTCGGCGGCTTTGCGAATCCTTCCCAGGAGCTCTTTCTGTTGTCCCGGCCTCATGCCGGCGCCGATGGTGTTCATGAGAACAGGTTGTTGGGTCCCGCCATTCCGACCCATTGTGCTCTGTCCTCTTCGTGCTTTGCCCAAGCGGGATCCGGACTGACCGACCGGATGGGTCCCTGAGTCTGGATGGGCTGTTGATGCTCCTCCCAGTTCCACTCCTCGTCCTGGCTGTTCACTTGACTGTCGTCCATGTACTCCTCCTCGTCCGAGTAGATCACGACTTGAGCCGCTTGAGATGCTTGAACTGCGTACGCCCCCAAGCTGCTCGAAGGTGGCCTCGAAGGATGGCGAGAAGAGGTCGCCATAGGCGGAGATGGGAGTGGAGCTGGCTGCGTCTCCTTGATGGCCTGAGGCTTGGCCTTGGCTTTCGGCTTGGACTTGCTCTGAGTGGCTGCCATAGCCTTGATGCCCTTGGCCTTGGATGAAGCCGCATGCAATGTACTTGAAAAGGAGGGCTGCGGCAAGGAAGATCTTTGCGAGACCGACCAACCAGCAGAAGCTTCCCATTCCTGCACGTCCGGGTTCCACTTGACTCGGGTGTGACATAGAGTGCAGGTGGCGTAACTGCCGTACTTGTTGCCGTGCCGTTTCCATTCGGGGTGCGAGCATTCTGTCGGCATCTTGAGAGGCTCGCGCTTCATCCGAGCTAGGGTCTTGTCGACCTCCTGCTGTGCCACGGTCTCGTGCAGTGTCATCCAGGCTCGTGTGAACCTGCCTGCTTGCAGCTTGACCATCTTGGACATCCATTGGAGTGAGAGCCACTCCAAACTCAGCAAGGTCTGGATGACCTGGCGCCATGCCTTCAACCATCTCGGAGGAGTTGGTCGCAACATCTGCGACTGCGAGAACGGTGGATGCTTTCTTGGGCCTCGTAAGCTGACGAAGTGCCGGCTCTTCAGAAACAATCTCCGGATGAGGGTCGTGCCAAAAAACGTTCATCAGACAAAACTTGCCAAACAGGGTTTCGATGAACATCCGGTGGAAAACATGCAATGTCAACTGTCAAATGACCGTTCAACTTGCACAACAGAAGCAAAACATCGATGACACCAAAGTAAATGCTTGAACTTGCAATGTCAATGACTGCTTGCATCGTTTCAAGAAAACATTGGATGCCAACAATGGGATGTTTGTTGCAATTGCACTTGCACCAATCAACATCAAATGATCTCCAAAAGCGACCGGCATGTAAACTCGGTCCTTTGCCTGCATAGGTGCTCCACTGCCGAACTGAAAAGCCTCAGCCGACGGCACCGTCTTGCAACGAAGTTGATGCTGATGAAGCAATGCTTTGTACCCGTCCAACCAGTTCAAACCCGCACATGTCCTCTGGCAAGCGGTGTCTATGACCATCTTCCCATGCAAAGGTGCACCTGCAACACAAACCTCATGAACCATCAATGTAACGAAGGTGAAGAAGTTGGGAACCGGTGCATCCTCCTGGTGGTGGCTGGTTGTGGACCCGTCAGGATGGTGGAGGCTCATGTACACCTTTTTCGGCGTACTCTTGCTGCCGTCTTTGGATTTGCCTTTGCCATCAGATTTTCCTTTGGAACTCTTTGGGCATTGGCTGTCTCCACTCCAGTGACCTACCTGTCCACAAGCAGCGCATGTACTTGTCTTCTTTCGCTCTTCAATCGACTTGGATCCACTGAACTTGCGCCCCAATGTAAGCGACTGCAACTTCTTTGCTGTCACCGTGAGGACCTCGGCAATGTCTGCAAAGGACTCTTCCGGCGCCTCTTCATCGGCCAGTTCCTGCTGATCGTATTGATCATCTTCTTGCTCGGCCTCATGTTCAGCTTCGGACTCATGAGGATCGTCTTCCTCTTCAATGGCTTCCAGCTGGTCGTCTTCGACCTCAGTGACAAAGGCGTGTTTGGCTTTGCCAAAGCCTTTGCCCTTGCCTTTGCCTTTGAAGCTTGAGGAACTCGATGAAGTACTTGTCGTGGATGAAGTCGATGGGGATGTGAAACTCTGTCTTGTTTTGATCGGTTGACCGTCCTTGCCAAACAACTGAGGTGGTGACTTGTGCTCCGGAAAACTCATGCACAAACTCTCAACGATGGCCTCATAGGCAAGGTTGTAGGCAGAACCGATCAATACCAATCTTTGGTTTTCTGGGCTCAACCTGCTTCTCTCGAGCAATCTGTTGCCTCGAGATTCGTCGTCGTACATCCCACGGATGTCGACGGAGACACTCTGCAGTGCTTGTTCAGCTCGTCGATACCGATTTGCGAAAGCCCTGACCGACTCCGACGGTTGTCGAACAATGCTTTCGTAGTCGCTCATCAGCTTCCGCTTCTGATAAACGAGACGAGTGGCCAGCCCTGATTTCAATGTTTGCTCAATGTACTCAATGCCTTCCGATGATGCCAACTTGTCCAAATCACAATGTTCCAACTCTTCTTCAGCCTCTCCAGTCAGGCTGGAGTAAAGCAAAAGCGCAGCGTCTTTGCGACTCATGAAGCTGGTGATTTGACGTTTCCAGATTTCCAGCTTTCTCTGCCACTTGGGAAAGCTGCGAAGATCATCTTTGGCATACTTCCAGGCAGGTGGTGGTGGTGGAGCTCCTGAACGATATCGAACTCCTCTTTCTGGTCCCTTTTGGGAGTTCCAAGAAGACGAACCTACAGAGCTCTTGGACGCTTTGCCACTGCCACCTTGGTCAACAGCACGCTGCAATGTGCGTACCAACTGTGCCAACTGCCTTGTCAAATCTGCATTGCTCTGTTGTTGCTGTTGTTGCGACTGGCCATCAAACAATGTACCATGCACTGCATTGCTCAATGTATCAACATTGCCAACTCCAACATCTTGTCGTGCTGCAATGTTCATAGCTCGATTCTGGGCTCTTTTCCTGGATCTGCGGCTGCTCCTCGACGTGGTGCCTCCGATTCAGCCTGCTCTCTGCTCTCATGGAATGGTCCCTCATGAGGTGAAGCATGGCCAACACGTGTCCGGTTATGATCGAACGCCTGCGACGTCGTGTCCGGCAGAGGGTCCAACGGAGGCGGATCTGAACCTGAACCATGGGATTGGGATTGCCGGGGGACATACATCCAAACGCCATTGTCTGTCTCTCTACGCTGGGATACAACAGCATTGTAGTAGTCTCCACTGCGGCAACTAGCGCATTTCCATCCCTCACCGGTCCAAGCAAAGGTGTCGTTCCCACAACTCCAACAACGCCAAGAGGGTTCCGAGGCCGTCTCAGAAACAGGCGAAGGGTCATCGTGGTCCTGGGGATACTCACCAGCGTCACCAAGCTCGGACAGAGCCGAGAAGTCGAACATCAGGCTCCGGTGCCAACTAGTGGCCCCTCGTGCAATGGGATGAAGGGCACTACAAAGGGGTGGTGGAACCAAACGCGGTCATGGCGCCACCTTTTATGCTAAAAGCGGATGCTTGGCTCGGGCCCTACGACCAACGGGAATGAGGGTCAACAGCAGCTAATGCTCATGCCATTGAACTTTCACACTGGGAATGTTTTCTTTCGACCCACATTCACGAAGGTGGATCACCGGCTTTTGAAGCCAGCTCAACAGGGTGTCGCGAAGGTCGGCTGACACCTTAGTCAACGAATCGGCCATCTGCAAGGCCGTCGGAATCCAGTGGATGGTGTTGCGGCTTACCACCTCCTGGATGGAGCGGATGTTGACCAGACTGCGTTTGTCTTCAACTGTCGGGTTCGGGCTTGAAACGCTGTCATACAGCGACTTGCAGTCAGTTGCCAACAAAGCTCGAAGGCGAGGGCCCACTCGGTGGGCAGCAACTCCAAAGACCAACTCTCCCAGCGCATACTGGACGTATGCCAAGCGATCTGCAGCACTGTCGGCTGATACGGCCTCTGCGGCCAACGTCGATCTGCATACTCGCTTGCTGCGAGAGCTCTTCCAGTACATGAGCCCACCATAGCATGGCTTCTCTGTCACGGTCGCTGGCGCCAGCGTGATAATCTGTCCACGCTGACTGGCGCTCCCCTGAGCGTTCGCCCAACTGGCGTCGGAGTACGCCATCACGACCGTGCTCTCATCAATCGGCCCTGGATACAGCCGGATGCCAAGCTTGGATGTATCCTTAACATGTTGCAGCGTCTTGTACAAACAGTCAAGGTCGGCATAGGTCGTCTCCTGTCCTCGATTGGACAATGAAACAGCTGATGAAATATCCAAACGTGTCTGGCCTGACAGCCACTGTAGGCAACCGCTGATCGACCTGAATTCCGGCCAAACATGGCTGGCAAGAACTTCAGCCTTGTTCTGCTTCTTTCCAACCTGTCCCATCTCAAGGTTGGTGATGAAGGTCTCTTGGACAATCCTGAGGGTCTGGACGTCGCCAGTCTGTTCCAGGTGAATTTCTTTGCCCTTGAAAACCAACGGTGAACCTTGTTCCAGAAACTGTTGCGAGCCCCACTTGAAGGAGTCAACAAACTGTTGGAATGGGAAGGAGGTGTTGAAGGTGATGAGGAAATCATCAACGTAGCAAATGAGAACTGCAGCTGGGCATGGTGCATTGTCTGGGTCAGGATACCAAAACATCATACGATCAAAACTGTGAACAATGAATCCCAGATTGACCAACCTCTTGGTGACTTCCTGTGCCCAAGTGGCGTTGCTGAGGCCGTACACATTTCCCAGTATCTCATACAGCTCGCTTTTGAAAACACCAGCTCTGATCAGCAAGGGATCTCGTGGTGCTTTGAGGTAAAGCTTGCCTGCCCTCTCGCTCAAGTCCTGCTGTCCTTGCAAGAACGCCGTGGATGCGTCCCCGGCCCACAACTTCCAAACCTTGTCACTCCGGAAGGCCTTGGAGTGCAATCCTGAGAGGAAGATGAGGAAGGTCATCATCTCGCTGACACGGGTTGGCGTTGGTGCTTGCCGTGTTAGGCTTTTCAAGTCAGGATCTTGATTGCCCCTTGCTACAATTCTGGTTTTGGCTTTGAGTGGTGGGACATTTTTGTTTTTGTCCCTGTAACAAGCCCTTGAAGAAATGACTCTCTTCTTCTGCTCGGGGTCGGAGAGGATGCGTTTCGTCTCTTCTGGAGGAACTGGTTTCAATGACTTCCACTCCAGAAAGCTGGTTTCCTCTTTCTGTGCCGATTCAATGAACTTCTGAATGTACTCTTCTGATTGCGACAAAATGTCGTGAAAACTCAACTCTTTTTCAATCTGCTTCTTCTCCTGCCTTGTGAGCCTTTTGCCAGTCTTGTAGTCATCAACATCGGTGTCTGAATCTGACAGGCGGCTCAGCAGGTCATCAACACTGGAGGCAAGTTGCTCGACGTAGACCTGGTAGTAGCGCTTGGTGGGAGGCAGGTAATTTTCATCTGAACCGTCCCATCCTGGCTCAATTTCACGAATGGTCTCGTCATAGCCGTAGTAGTAGTGGTTTGCCTCAGGTGGTGGAGTAAACCAAAACTCAGTGATGATGTTTCTTGGTTCTCCAAAATGGAGCTTGTTCTCTTCTTCTTCATCAGGGTCGATGACACCTTCAAAGATCAGTTCATTGGCGTTTGCATCAATGGTGCGACGCCATTTCACATAGCTCATCGGTGGCCCTGATGACATTGGGAGTTGAGGTTGTGAAACACAAAGGTCGAGCCGTGCCCAAGCATTCTAAATTCTGAAAAGGTCTTGCAAAGTCGCTCTGGTAGCCATAGAGCTCGAAGCTACCTGGAGCGTTCATCCGGGCAGAGACGTCTGCCTTAAAGCATCGAATGGCCGCTTGGCCGGAAGCTGAGGCAAGGGCTCGTCTGCAACGCCGTTGCGCATCCATGAGGACGTCTCGAGCCTGTAGAGGTAGAGTCGAGGCTCTGGTGTCGTTGGGACTATTCTGGACAAGTCTGGCTGTCCATCATCATCATCACCTGTGAGGTCGATGGCTGGTCTGGTAGCGCTTGAGGCGGTGATGGATCAAGGCCATGCGGTGTGAGCCACCCAGCCGCATTGTTAGGCGCGCTCTCACCATCACCTGGATGTGGTGCTGAAGGTTGCGAAGGGTCAAAAGACTCTCTTTGATCTTGGATCGCCAGTGCCTCAGGTGGCATGTAAGGATCGGTCAGCGTGGCCGTCCTTTCAGCTCTTCGAACTGATGTGGTTGTCCGTGACCTGGCTGGTCGAACACGTCTGCTTGGCGTGAATGGGGCTGGAACAGGAACCAATGAGGTGCTGTCAGCCTTTCTGCCAAAAACATTTTGGGTAATGTTCTGATGCATGTGTATGACAGTCTGTGGTGTCTGTGGTTCCAAAGGCTGTCCTGGATGATCCGATGGATCTGGTTCTTCTGCGACTGCTGGTCTCTTCTTGGGCAGCGGCAAAACAAGGGGTTCATGCGGCGGTGGTTCATGAACCTCAGGTGTTGTCAGCGGTGCATCCACTGACGGAAAATCTGCATCAGCCAATTCAAAGGCTGCTGCATCTTCTGGCGGGATCTCTGGCTCCTCATCGGGCAATGGTGGCTCTGCCTCTGGAGGTAGTCGATGGTCCTGCCAAAGGTCGCTGCGGATGTTGTCTTCTGCAGCTTTGAGTGCTTTGACATCTTCACAGGTTGGGACATATTCCTCATACCCAAAAACATTGCGCACTTGATTTGGCGCCACTTTGATGGTCTGGCTCCCGGACTGAATCCAGTAACTGCTGTTGTCTGGATCTTTGCCCAAGTATCTTGCAATGCGGTAGCCACCTCGTTTTCTGTGGCTTCTGACCGTCCATCTCCAGTAGGCCAAGAGCGACCCAGGTTCTGGTGGTTCAGCAGGCTGCTGATTGGTCTTCCTCAGCAGTGCACGTCTGAGGGTGGAGGATGCTTCGGCCAGGGCCTTGTAGGCCTCACATCTCATCATTGCGGCCTGTTGCTGTGCTTCAGACCTCGAAGAACCTGCGATCAAAGCTCTTGGGTCGTTGATGAAGTCAAGTCCTACCCTTGGGATCTTTCCGAAGGCAGCGATGAATGGAGGGCGACCTGAAGTCCAGGTTGCTGAGTTCTTGGAGTATAGGGCCGAGACGATTGCATTGTCTAGGTCCTCTGGTGTGCTGCATGGGGTTGAGTCAACGATCTTTTCCAGCAGCATTCGAAGTGTGCCGTTGTGGCGCTCTATGGTGCCCAGCTTGAAGTGAGCTTCCGGAGGGATGAAGTCCAAAAAGACTCCTCCTTCATCGCAGTAGTCCATGAAGTTGGACTTGAATGCGCCATCATCATCCACTGAAAGTCTCAGCGGGAATCCAAAGTTTCTCACCCAGGCATTGCGGAAGGCCTGAGGTAGGTGGATCGGCTGTCTGGAGTCCAGCCTGATTGCTGCGTGAAGATGTGTGGCTTCACATATGATGCCAAGGACTGGATGGTTCCTGGATGTGGCATCTCTGAGGTAGAAGATGTCTGCTTGCAAATTGTCTGCGAATTGTCCCAAGTACTGGGGATGTGATGAAGCTGGGTTTGGCGGCTTGGGAGGCTTTGCTTGTTCGCAGGCCGAACAAGTCATAGCCTTGGTGCACTTGATCACCTGGTCACTGGTAATGCCGTTCAAACAAAACAGCTTGATCGTCTCATTGGGCGGCAAATGTCCCATGTTCTTGTGCATCCTGGCAACTGACGCTTTGATGGTGCGATCGATGCCAGGGGTGTTTGGGAAGAAGATCTCATCGTGGAAGATCTCCTTGGTGGGATTCTGGCGGTGCTCTGCTTGTTGTGGCTCTTGGTCATGTAAGGCTGCTTCCTCTCCTGGAATGCCAAGATGCTCATCAGACAAGCTGGGATAGCCGTAGAAGAAGATTGCCAGTTCCACTGGAGCTTCGAATCTACCCCGTGGGAAATGGATGTCGGCTAGGTCCTCCGCCATGATGGAAAGGTCTTCTCTTCCCACAAACTTGAGCACATGACCTCGGTGTGTATGAGGCACATGCTGTGGCAGTCGTTGTACCAGTGGTCGCAAGCAAACCTGCAACCTCGTGATCTCCCATGGCAGTAGCTCTTGAATCTTCTTGTATAGGCCACTGGAGGCCTCAAGAATGATGTTGTTTGTTGAGGACGCATAGAGTTCTGGCTTGGGCGATCACGTCTTGCCATGGCTTCTGGTCCAACACTGGCTGGATAAACCTTCTTGAGGTTGAAGCGTGTCGGATTGCGCTGCCTGACCACATATCGAACACCCTTGAGGATAGAGGTGATCAGGCGTTGAGGGTACTCCTGCGAGAGTGTGGTTTCTTTTCCCTCAAGTGGCACGCACAACTTCAACTCTTCTGCTGAGAGCTTGTCCTGGAGGAAGGTGAGAATGTCCTTGTTGTTGGAAGCAAAACGAAAGGTCTTACGGATGGGATTGCCTTTCGAGTTCATAGCTCCATAAGCCCCTGACTGACAGGTGACTGTCTGTCCTCCGGTGTCTTGCAGCATGGATTGGACACTTTCCTCATCCCACAAACGGCTAGTCTGAGGATTCTCTATGAGACAGTAGCGTCCTGCTTGGTGCTGCATTCGACACCACTGCATGGCTTCTTCAACAACAGGCCTCTCCAAAGCACGTCTCTCGGCCAGTTCTTCAGGCCTGTCCTTGTAGTTGGTGTTGTCCTGCATCAAGATCCATGGTGTGCAATGGAGTTCAGCAATCAAAAACAACGGAAGCAGCTGCCGGATGGTTCTACGGACTGCTGCCTGGTGATGTTCTGTTGCTAGGTCAAAACCTGTGCTGTAGTCCATGGGTGTGCATGCTATGAGGTCATGCCTGGTGGCTTGCTGTGAGATGAGTCCTCGGCCGGCAAACACCTCAAGTCTGTCGCTTCTTGAGCGATTGGTTTTGTGTTTTGTGGCTAGGGCCTCATACATGGTGCACTCTGTTTCGGCGGCATGCCTTGCTTTTCGAATCCTTCCCAGGAGCTCCTTCTGCTGTCCCGGCTTCATGCCGGTGCCGATGGTGTTCATGAGAACAGGTTGTTGGGTCCCGCCATTCCGACCCATTGCGCTCTGTCCTCTTCCTGGACAGCTGTATGTACACCAAGTTGGTGTACGTAGGTCTTAGGGCCATATGGCCGTGAAAACCCCATATGGCCGTGAAAACCCATATGGCCGTGAAAACCCCATGTAAGTGGGCACATTCTTTGCTGACCTTTGGCAGGCTGAGTGCTTCAGCTGTTTTTCCAAACAAAAAACGTTCAGTGTGCATCAAACAGTATTCCAATGACTGGAAGCGTCCATGCACTTGATTCTTGTAGCGGGGTGGTTTATGCAGTGCATGAGGCTCAAGGAAAAGAGGCATCCTTTTCTTTCCCAAAAGGAAAGGATGCATATATGTGTACAAATATATATAGTATGTATTGTTAAAACAAACTGTGATGTTTTCACACCCTTTTGGCACCATCCAATTTGGTGCGAACGGTGCGCGGCGATCGATCCATGAAGTCTGTTTTGATGACGGTTGGTTTAACAAACTCTTTTGGGGAGCGTTCCCCAATCCATTGGTGCTGGCTTCGAACTTTGTCCGCCAGCGCATGCATGCACCATGTACACGCGTGAAAGCAAGATTCGATCGGTCAGCTCGGCCGCAGCCTTTGGTAGGGGTGGTGTTGGTGTGGTAGCGCATAGGTAGTGACGATGACCATGTTGAAAAACCATATCCCACTGCAGGGGAACATAGGGGTATTCATATCCAAGATTGTGCCATGTAGTTTCACGAACTTGATGTGGAGCTTTTAGCAAGTCGCTGCCATGGTCTTGCGCAGCTCTTGCTCTCACGTACACGTGGCCTGCCTGGGCACCCAGTGAAGGTGAGACGAGCGCAAAGCGTCCAAGGAAGGATTGTGCTTCAAAGTGCTACAGCTTTCATCTAGAATCTAGTAAAAAAAAACTAGGCTTCGATCAACCCTCCCTAGGATATCCTCTCATGACTTCACTTCGCCCAGCTCCTGTGGCCGGCCAAGGAGGTGGTGCGAACCGAAGGACATATTCCTCGAAGAGGTTGGCTCAGCCGTCTTGATGGTTTTTTCATTCCTGAGTTCCAAGATGAAGGTTTTAGTGGTGTGTAACCACTCCAGACCCCACCCTAGCAAATGATCTAGTCCCCCCGCTAGCCTTCACCATGCCAGGTTGGATGTCTGGCGCACTTCGCCTATACCATGTTGAAGATGCCACAACCCGTGCCTGGTTCTTTTCGTTGCGAGCACATCGGAGCAGGTCAAATTGCAATTGAAGTGTTAGAAGGTGCTTTGTCCTAGCCATTTTGGCTGATGGGTTGATGGGAGAATGGCCAGAACAGGTCACTAGCATTTCTGGTTGTCATATATCCTGTAGCTGTGGGTGCTATGGGCCGATTGACGCAGATTTTTGCCACGTGTCCGGAAAGATATCTGGCTTTTGCTATGTGCTTCGAAGAAGATGATTACCTGAAGTCTGTTCCCTGCCAGCAAATGCTTATAACAAACCTGGCCATACAAGTTTTTGGCTTGATCTTTTTTAAATGTCTGTAGATATGTCAGCCCAACCTTCTTCAAGCCCTTCCTGAGGCTGGTCTTGGGTTCCTACACGACCACTCTGGACAGCTCTATGGACGCTCAAAGTGCACTTTGAAGGACATAGTGGTCAACAAACAGGCTGACCCTGGATATCTGTTTTTACATGTCTACGCAGTCTAGGGTCTGGTTGTTTTGTAGCTCACTCCCACCAGGCGGTTCTCGCTGTATTCCGGGGGCTGAAGAGACATCCTCCACCACCTGGCATGAACATTTACCGTTTGTCTGCCCACGAACTTAGCAAGAGCATTTTGGCGTTCTTTGATCACGGCCAACATTGGCCGAATGGGCTACATTCCCGCATTCCGGCTTGCGAAGAGTGGGCCTTGAAGAATGCAAGAGCATTGGCAAAATTGGTTCCCTGGTTGTTCATTCCCAATTTTTTTGAACACTGGTTTGCTTCTTTTTCAACTGTGAAAGGGGTGCTTGGACTGTCCGTGCGTGAATCTGGGCCCAGGTGGGTCGAATGAGACGCTTGATGTACCGGGCTCCCCGATCAAAGATGAAGAAGTTGAATGAAATCAGAGCAGAGATCACTGCTCTTGGATTGCCTTCAAATGCCTTTGAAGTTGTTTCTCGACCAAAACTTCACTTCTGCATGAAACGGTATTGTAAAGGAACCCTTTCTGAAACAGCAACAAATCACTTGGGAAATTAACAACAGTCCCTGGTGGTCCTAAGGAAGGGGATGCCAGTGATGACGGGGAGGAAGATTGTCTGTCCAAAGCCCCTTCGCAGAGTGTGAGCACCGACATCTCTGCCCTGTCCAGTCTCTCCTCCTCTAGCTCAAGGCCGAATGAGATCGATGTTCGCAGCCTGAGCAGGCAGGATGTGAGGATGACAAGAGCCATCCAGCAAGCACGGGAACAGTTGGCACTAAAGGCCAAGAAGAATTCCCCTCCAAGTTCAGCTTCAAGTGGGGCGATGGCTGGTCCTTCTAGTACTACTACCCCCAGTACAGCTTCTGGCACTCCTTCAGCTAGACCAAGTATCTCCGAAATTGTTGCCAGGGTCAAGGCCATGCGGGTGACTTCGGGAGTTGTGGGCACCCGTGAGCAACAGGGAGGGCAACAAGCGAATCCTGATCCTCCAACAAACCGTGCTTTATTACCAGCGTTTGTCCCTCTCCTACAGATACATTTTCTTTTTTGGTGGGTGTTACTGGGCCCCTGCACCGCATGTAGCTTGGTAGACCTTTCGCCGCTCACCGTCTTAGGTATTGGCATCGATTGAGACGAAGATGAAAGAGGCAACAGAGCAGCCGAAGGTTGCCTTTTCGGCTTCAGCTCAGTACAAATGCAATATGCAGGCAAAAGGTGATGGGGGAGGGGATGATGATGATGAAGAAAAGGAACCGACTGGTAGTGGTGTTGTTCCTGTTTCCTTGGGCCACCCAAAGAAGAAGAAAAAGCGTCGGGCTCCCAAAAAGAAAAGAAAGAAAGTTGTCATTCCAAGTAGGTCTGAGTTGGAAGGGGATGGCGCGCCATTTGTTGAAGACACCAAGCTGGGAGAGGATACCAAATACCAGCCTGGCAATTTGAGGAAAATTCAAGAGGCCTATGTTGTTGACTTCCTTTCGAATGAAAGGAAGGCAGGCCGGCGCCCGTCCCGATCAGAGGCTATCGCCTCTTGGCATGGATCTTTGAAGCGTGCTCAGATCTTGTCCACCTTGAGTGTGGCGGATTTGAAAAGACGGAAGTTCATCCCAAAGGGTTCCACAACCAACCCTTTCAGGGAACGCATTGGCCAAATGGCCAGTTGAAGCGTTGGGGTCGCTTGCAAAACAATATAGGGCAACAAAATCCCTGATCTGAAACCCGTGATACCATACTGGCTAGTGGAATATACATATATCTATATATAAATATTTATTCGAAAAAGGATTCATATAGGGCTTGGGATCAGGGAGTCGGTGTCGGTGTTGCTATTTGTGCGTACAATTCTTTCACCACCTGACATGGAACTTGCCATGGGTAGTTCTTGTCAAGTCTGATTCGACCTGATCTGTAGCTTTTTGGGGTCCTTTGGGGTAGACCCAAGGGTTGTTGCGGTGATCCGTGAACTACCTTTAACATGGTGGTCTCTGACTTGCTTCGATGGAGCCTCCCACCAAAATTCGTGGCGGTGGTCTTGCTGCTTCTTTGGAACACCGCTGTGGTCACGACACAGGACAGGTATGTGCTTCATGGGCCCGGCCCTCTTGACACACCCCAGTTTCCCAGCAGGGAAAGGTTGAAGTTCCAGCAAGCTGTGTGGTTTATGTAGCATTTGGCGTTTGCCCTTCAGGATCTGGACTTCACCGAGTTGTTCAGTGGAGCTGGCGCTGTGACTCGTGGTTGTTGGGCGGCTACTTGGCCGCATCCGATCTGTGAAATGGGCTTTGAGTTCTAAAGTCTGAACCTTGATGCCTGTGCAAAGGAAGGTTTTAAACCACTTTCGCAAATCGGATGCATGCAAAAAGGAAACATAAGTAAACTGGTGGCCCTCCTCTTCACTTCACCCTTCACCCTTTGTGTTGTCCTCGCCAACCCTGCCAAAAGGGTTGGTTCTGAGGGCCCCGTGACTGACTGATGCTTGGTCTGCCCAAGGAAGGCCTGGATGGCAGTGCGATCGATACAGACTATGATGCAAGGTGTATGGACCTTTGCACCGACGCTGGATTTGCGCCCCTTGTTTGCGACATATCGCACGCACGCCTAAGAATCGTACTGGTGTGAAAAACGTGAGGACACAAAAGGTGAGGTTCTCTCGAACTTGTGGGAATTATAGTTCCATGCGTGCTTGTGGCTTCCTGAGGCTGAGCGTTGCCCAAGTACTTCGCTGCAAACCTGGAGGATTTGTGTTGATAGCTTTGGTCTGCTCATCCTTCTCTGTGATGCGCTGTCCCTAGTATGTGGTATGCACCGAAGCTGTTGCACTTAGTTTGATCTTTGGGAACCAGCCTGTGCATATAAGGAGTCGACATACATCTGGCAGGAGTTTTTTGACCCCAGAAGGAAAGGACCATCGGTTCGTGATTGAGGGGAACCTGCTATCTGCAAGAGTGGCTCTCATCATCCACCTTTGCTCAGCTAGAGGGCTTCGCTGGCTTCTAGAGCAACCTTCTCGGAGCATACTGAATGCTATGCCTTGGATGCAACGTCTTTGGGGGTATGTGCAGGCCTGCATAGCATCACCACTTTGCACAGCATCCCCACACCAACCCCTCTGTGAAACTTCTTGTGTATATAGGAAAGATGATATTTGACCTAAACTTATATACATGTTTGGTGTTTCCCCAGGCCTACCGGACAACGTTTTGGATGGGCAACTTTGGCCATGAGTCTCCGAAACAGCATGTGGTATGGTCAAACGATGAGGGAATGCTAGAGCTACTTCGTGAACGAGCTGGGTACATGAGCGCTGCTGAGCAAGCGAGTCGGGAATCGCAATTGGTGCGGTCATACATAGACTGCAATGGTAAACGTCGATGTGTAGGCCGCAAGAAAGAGTTGAAAAACTCCCAGAAACTAGAAGCAATTTTCAAATGAACTGTTTTCATTTTTGTGAAAATGTGTATGTACAAACTGCTCTTTTGAAGTGTTTGTCTTCACCAACTGTATTAGCTATCCAAGGAGATACCCTGATGACTTTGGAACATGGTTGGCCTCGGTGGTCAAGAACCGAAGTTGTGTTTCCTGGCAGGGTGAGGTAGAACCCACGACACGCAATCAGGCCCAGGCCCAGCCTTAATCGTGAGTTCGGAGCATCTCAGGTGTCCTTGCCACCTCCAAAGGACATCGTGGAGCTGGATTATGGCTTTTCAGATGCTGAGATTTTCCTGGATAAGTGCACCATGGTAGTGACCTCTGGTGATGGCATGCCTCTCCTGGGAATTTGCGGAGACCCATGCAAAGAAGTCTTTTGGCCAAGGGCTGGTTTTGGGGAGTGGAGAGGAGGGGCCACTAGAACAATGATATTTATGTCCCAATTGAAGATGGACTGCCTTTTCGTAACCTTAAGGCTTACCTGAAGTGAAGTAGAGTTGCAGGGGCCTGACAGGAAAAGGTGACCGCGTTTGATCGTTTTCCTCTTGGGGTGTGGGAAGAGTGTCCAATTGGCTCCCTGCTCTCAGGCTAAGATAGATCGCATCATCACCTATTTGATGAAGAGTTCACGGATTGACTATCCAGGAAACTGGGTCCGAGCCCTGGTCCAGTCATTGCGCTACCAATCACAAACCCTTTAATTTGCAAACGTTGAAATTCACTGCAGTACCTGCACGGGGAAAGTGTGCGAACAGAAAATTGGAAAGTGTTTGACTGGGGACTGAGTTCGAAATCTTTGCTGCCATCTTCCCGCCCATGATCAGATCGAGGAGGGGGAGATGGCTTGATCTCAGCCCTTGGATGTATAGCGTTTGTAGACGGTAAGATCCTTGCATCTTCTAAAGGAATGGATCCGGCTATTGATCGATGGGTTGGGGGTTCCGGCATCATCTCCAAAGGCCATTCTAATCAGTTTGATGGTTAAATAAGGCCCACGCATGTACTTGCCTACTATTCCGCTGATGTTGAGGGGAAATCTCTGCTGTCCCACTTCCACCCTGTTGCAGGAGCGGCCAGCCTACAGGCTGATCTTTTGCCTTTGATGCCCATCATGAGCCTTGGGCACGGGGAAGTGTCCGCAGGCTGTGCGAAAAGGTTTAGTGAGATCAGTGTGGATTTGACCCGATTCGAGCTTCGAACGGAATTGCCCGTGAAAAGCCGTGAAAGGTACGTGAAAACCCCGCTCATGTACGTGAAATCCCCGTGAAATCCGTGAAAATTTTTTGGGGCCACTCATGGGGGTTTGCGATCTTTTCACGGCTTTTCATGGGCTTCATGGGGCTGGCTGCAAGTTGTTGCAATTTCAGCTCATACATCTAGGTGGCTACCTATTTATCTTATAAGTTGAGCGCAGCTGTTCATCAGGGTTTCAAGCGGAGGTGTGGGCAATATGCCTCCTAAACTGAGTGGCGTCCTCATTGATGGCGCTTTGGCCGTTTTACGGGGAAAGATGAACGCACAGGGAAGCCCTGCACCTGAGGCTTCGGAAGGGGCGCCAACCCAGGTGTATCCGGTTGAACCGCGTGAAAAGGTTCTGCCTAAGAAAAGGGCCAGGCCTGCCAAGGCAAAGGCCAAGCCGCATGCAGAACCTCTTGTGGAGGAGGGTCGCCCTATCTATGAGCGTGAAGAGTTGGAAAACATGATGAGGGATTGGAATCTCTCACGTGAGGAAGCTTTGGTTGTAATGGAAGAGTTGCACAAGCCTATGGATTCCTCTGGGCAGGACCCCACGCCAAAGGCTCCTTCTGAACCAGCAACTGATGCTGTTGTTGAGGAACCAGTAAAAGGGAGTGAACCCAAAAAGCTTCCTCGTAAGCGTCCCCGGCAGGAGTCAGCGCAGGTGAAGTGTTGTGCATGTTTTGCAAAAAGGTTGACAGGACACACCCTTTGGTTTGTGTCCTGTCAACCTCTCTGAAAGCTACACTAATTTTCACAAGTGTTCAAGAAAGCTCAACTGCAATAAATGAACTAGAACTGCATTCCCTTTCCATACGCGTCCCAAACCCGGTGGTTTCCACTTCAATCCCCTTGAGGCAAGCCCTATTGATTTGGATGCCTCCAGCGAAGTCAGTCAAGCAAAGGATGGTGGATTGAAAAGATCTGGGACCCAATCGTGTCTTGTTGGTATAGTTGGAAGCCATGCGGCCCTGTGAATGGTTTCCCACCAAACCCACCACAGGGTTGCCTATTGGACATCTAAGGTCAGTCACCACCTTGATTCTTGGGCAATCCGCCGTCGAGAAGCAGATCACTGCCAGGGCGCTGGCTCCTCAACCCAAAGCTCCATCTCCGGCTCGCCCGGCACCAACACTGCCTGACCCCACGGACATGCATGACAGTCAGTTCACAGAGTCTCTTGATCTATATATAGTCAGTGTTGATTGAACAATTGAACTTAATGTCGTCTGACAACTATATTATTTTTTGGGCAAGGGTTTTCTCTTTGTTTGTTCTCTCCCAGTGACAAAGGTTGGGGCCCAGTGCATCGGAGATCGGGACTACGCCGATGGTTTCTGAGGAGGAACTCCGCAGAAGAAAGCGCCTTGAAGCTGCTATGGCAAGGGAGCGAGAGGCTTGTTTAGAGAGAGAACAATTGCTCAAAGAGCAAGAAGATGCAGAGAGAGAACAATTGCTCAAAGAGCAAGAGGCTGAGCACAAGCGTGCTCGTTTAGAGGCAGCTCTGAATGCACCCCCATCCCAGAAGAAGGCCATTGCTTCACCAGCGCCGGAGGCTCCAGCCGGAGTGGATGATGAGAACTTGGATGGAGAGGAATGCGAAGAGGAGGAACTTGTGATTGATCCCCCCGTGGATCCTGGTCCGTCAGTGGAACCCGCTCGATCAGCTCCCAGGCCGCCGGCATTGGTTCCAGCTCCCTTGCCTCCTTCTCGCCCAGAAGACAACCCTGGGGCTGTGGAGAAACCAGAGAAAGTCAATTCGAGCACCCACAAGAAGGAGTGGATGCACTTGGATCGGCTTGTTGCGAGCCAGGGACACACTTTGCCTGGCATGGCTGAGATGTGGAACAAGTCGACAAAAGACACTTATGGGCAGTCTAAAAAAGTTTGATTGTTTTTTGCTCAATGACCCCTGGGCATACATGGCATGTAATCTATGGTATCCCAATTTCTGCCCTTATAGTCGAAATGTGATGGCCCAGGATCGGAACATTGTCTTGCGGAAGTTCCTTGAGAGTGGCCGCAACGCCGAGGCATGTGAGGCGTCTGTGCAGCTCTCACGCGATGAGATTGACAAAGTCAAGAAGGGCATGGTGCAAATGACGCTGCAAGATATGATCGATGCAAAGTTCAGTCAGAACTTTGGTCGACATGAATATCGTTTTGCATCCTTTTTTCTTGACATGGTGCTTCAAGATGATTTCATCCTGGGTAAGTTTGTTGTGTGAGGTGCACTCTTCGGGGGCCTCGAAAAACCATGTAAGCAACTGTTCTTCTGTAGGTCTCCTTTAATTGGCGATTTCTCTGAGGCAGAAAATTGAGAGCATCATTCGACGTGGCCACGCCGAGTGCGATCCGGATGCACCTGATGATGCAGAGAGTGTGCTCTTCTGGTGCAACAAGAAGGGCGAGGTCACTAATGTGGCCCAAGTGACCAAGACCCAAAAGCTCAAGGTCCAGGGACGCCCGTCTGAAGCTTTTGCTAATGAGATGGCATCCCAGAGTGTGACGCCTGCTGCTGTGCTAGCCTTGGGTTTGGGGGATGCTTCGGCTTCGAAGGTGACTGCTGACGCATTGCTCAAGGCGTCCCGAGAGCTTGCCTCAGGACCACTCCCTTGACCACATGCTCAGGCATATGTATATACATAGGGGGTTGTCGGTGCTAGTTAGTAAGGTTTATATATTACTTCATTTTGCAAAGCGAGGATCTTCTGGGGCTTCTGCTGGAGCTTCCAAGGGCAGTGGTGGTGGTTCCCGCGCCAAAGCACTGCCCAAGAAGAAGGGAACTGCCAAAGTTATCCCTCAACAGAAGATGACGCCCAATGAGATGAAAACTGAGACCCGCCATTTGTCTTATAGCAGTTGGCACGCAGTCCTTCTGTGATGTTGCTTTTTTTCAACTCCTTCCTGCCGATAGATAGCTATATATATATATGTGTGTGTGTCTTAAGATGTGTCTTTATACTATCTCAGGCAACCAGCTGAAGAGAGAGCTCAACGCTAACAACATGGTCTTGCTCGACCTGCCCACAGGACATGATTTGCGGAAGAACTTGGAAACCACGCAAAGCCAATACCAACAAATCCTGGAGAAGTCTGCTACTCATTTGTTTTGACCCCAAACTAGGTGTACTGTACTGAATGCACCTTTAAACTGAATGGTCCAAGGTTGTTGAGCACCTCTGACCCGGGGGAGATCAGTGATTTTCACGCGCAAGCTTCTACTTTGGCGCCTCGTTGAAAGCTTGTTGTCTGATTCAAAAGTGGGGGGTTATGGGTCATGTCTCCCGGTTCTCTTCAGGTGGACGCAGCGCGACTCATCAAAGCCCAAGCCAGAGCTGTGGCCAGTGAGTTGCGCAAGACTGAGAGCTGAGGAGTTCCGAGTTTCCAGCTTTATGGACTCCCCACAGGGTTGTTGCTCGGGGTGGACGGCTTGAACAAACCGATAAAAATTAAGTCAAAAGTCTTGAGATGGCTGAAGCCAACTAGCTTTGTTTTTGGAAGCGTTTGTGTATTCAACCAGGGTTCCAAAGTATAAGCTCCAAGCAACTCGTGGAGACCAGGCAATCTGATTTTGAGTAGAAGACGATGTCTCTTCAAGGGGTAAATCCTCCAATCCGTTCACCGCTGGAGGAAAGAACCACAGTCACGGAGCTTCGCTACCCTGAGTCATCCACCCACATGTTGTGATTTGATCCAATATGGTGTGATAGGCCCATGTAAACCTATTGTGCGCAGGTCGTGGATCATCGTCGTCTTCTTTTCTACGTGATGAATTAGATGATGTGCTCCTTGCCTTATTATAATCACTGGCCCAAAGTCCCAACGAGCAAGAGTTGCTACTGATTCGAAACGAGCTAGAAAACATGGAAACATGAAAACATGAGATTCATTTTGTGAAACATGAAAACTGAGATTCTTGAATGCCATTGGATCTGGTGATGTGAGCCTCAAATTCGCCCACAGCGCTGGAGCAATCTATGGGTCTGAAGCCATCCGGACCCCTGGCTGCACACCTGGCCTCCCACTCATCCTTCTCAGCCCAAGCCATGGAGTGAGACCATGACAAAACTAGGCAGCTAGGGGTGCAAGTGCATGGTCTGCCTAAGGACTGATCGAGAATCTGACTTTCATGCGATGGCCCGGAAGCATGGGATGTCTTTGGGCTGTGAGCTTTCCTATGTGCCACTGCCTGTGGTCATCGGGGAAGATGAGAACGGTGACCCTGTTGTAGCGCTCGAGAACTGGCCGTTCATACTTCCGCATACCTACGTAGCTGATTTTGCAAAACAATCGTTTGTGTTTGAGGGTTTGCCCCGGAAAGTCTTGGTAATGGACGGCTACACCTGACACCGATGAGTTGTTGGTGGGGCCCAGGTACAAGCATTGCTTGATGCAGGATACCATGACCATCTGGTTAGCTACAGGGACCATGCTGTATACTGGCAAAACATGAAGCGTGAATATCCTGACCACCCTGTAGCTGCGCATCCAGATCGCTGGAGGCATTGTTTTGGGGCCACCTTGTATGGCAACTTTGGCTAAACTGTGATTTAAAAAAGAGACCTTTGCAACTTTGGGCTTCCTTGGGTGTGGGTTTCCTTTAAAGAAGATCTTAGGTTTGGGAGTTCCTGTTTTTTCATTGGCCAAAGGTGATGAGGCAACGGCCAACAACGAATCCTGGCTTCACTTGCTCTGGGTAAGCGACCACAGTCCTAACCCAACCAATTCCCTTGTATCGAGAAACGTCATTGCAGTGATTCCTTCCAGTCGATATGTCTATGATGAAGAGACTGGCCGAAATATGACTGTTCAAACTGCCCTTCACGCCGTGGTCAACAGTTTCAATCAACTCTCCACAGTTGGAGCGCAAGTCGTTGACCCCATCTCAAAAGAAGTGGAACTTTGATTGAATATAGTCAAGGTTTGATGTATTTTCCACTCTAATTTGTGGTGGTGCCAACGATATGCCATGAGCCACTGTTTCAAAATTAGCGCGGCGCTGAACCGAGGTTGCTGAGCACTTTTGGTATTGCATGGGTGTGAGAGGGGACTGGAAGGCTTTCTGCCAGATGCTGTGTCTCACGCGCGAGCCCGCCAAGAACGAGGCTGTGTGTTTCACAAAAGCTTGGTTGTAGTTAACTTGGTAGGTCAGGGTGTGCCAAACAAGTTTAAGTTCTAATTTGTTTGCCCTGCAGGTGTGCTGGATTTGCCACGCTACTAAGGGAAATGACGGAAACCTAGACCTAGCATACACCAACACGGAGTGTCGCTGGAAAGGAACTGAATATCAAAGCCTTCCATGGGACCATCCTGACCCAGTGCTTACAGAGCTTGCAGGATTCGATATAAGAATGGCACACCCTGACCTGCTTCATTGCTGGCACCTTGGTGTGGGCAGAGACCTCTTGGGCGCAGCTTTAAAGGTTCTTATCAAGAGCCAGTATTTCCCTGGTCGGACCCACAAGCAAAGGCTAGCAGCAGCAACTTCCAGTTTGAAGCGCTTCGTGAAGAACCACAAACTCAGTTTTTCAAAGAAAAAACTCTCAAAACCAATGATGAATTGGACTTCCCATGAGTTCCCCGAGCTGCGAACAAAAGGTGCAGATACTTTTGCTATCGGTATGTGGCTAGCCCACCTTGTGGAGACGAACCCTCCCGCTGGATTGAACGATCTGTCGACGGCGCTTTGGACAAGCAACAACGTGCTCACAATTCTTGCGAGGAACAAGACATTTTTCCTCTCGGACCAAGAGCGTCACCAAGTGAATGTATTGGGGAGGTTGTTCATCGACACCTACATCCGTCTAGCCCATCAGGCGATCCTTTCTGGCGAACGGCTGTATCGAACGCGGCCTAAGTTTCATCTTGTGCAACACGTTTTCCTAAGTGAAAGGAGTCTTAACTATCAGAGATATGCTACCTGGGTCGATGAGGATGCCAATAAGAAACTCATGAAGATCAATCGATCTACTCACCGCCGAACAGCGGCCAAACGTGTGCTGGAGCGTTGGCTAGTTGGAGTGCCAACTAGGTTGGCGAAGCTTCGAAGCTAAAGGCTGGAAGAAAAATTCCTGCGATGCCCTTGAAGGGCGGGAGAGGGTGGGTGGTGTTCATTTTGCACTCTTTGTTCTTTTCATTGAGTTTCAACATATATAAACTATACAATCCCCTGGCTCAAGCTCACCCTACCCCGTGAAAACCGTGAAAACGGTATGGCCGTGAAAATTTGGTATGGCCGTGATTTCAGCTTTTCATGGACGTGAAGGCTATGTACTCCAGAAATGTAATCGTACAGACCTCCAGGTTCGTGCTTTGCCCAAGCGGGATCCGGACTGACCGACCGGATGGGTCCCTGAGTCTGGATGGGCTGTTGGTGCTCCTCCCAGTTCCACTCCTCGTCCTGGCTGTTCACTTGACTGTCGTCCATGAACTCCTCCTCGTCCGAGTAGATCACGACTTGAGCCGCCTGAGATGCTTGAGCTGCGTACGCCCCCAAGCTGCTCAAAGGTGGCCTCGAAGGATGGCGAGAAGAGGTCGCCATAGGCGGAGATGGGAGTGGAGCTGGCTGCGTCTCCTTGATGGCCTGAGGCTTGGCCTTGGCTTTCGGCTTGGACTTGCTCTGAGTGGCTGCCATAGCCTTGATGCCCTTGGCCTTGGATGAAGCCGCATGCAATGTACTTGAAAAGGAGGGCTGCGGCAAGGAAGATCTTTGCGAGACCGACCAACCAGCAGAAGCTTCCCATTCCTGCACGTCCGGGTTCCACTTGACTCGGGTGTGACAAAGAGTGCAGGTGGCGTAGCTGCCGTACTTGTTGCCGTGCCTCTTCCATTCGGGGTGCGAGCATTCTGTCGGCATCTTGAGAGGCTCGCGCTTCATCCGGGCTAGGGTCTTGTCGACCTCCTGCTGTGCCACGGTCTCCTGCAACGTCATCCAGGCTCGTGTGAACCTGCCTGCTTGCAGCTTGACCATCTTGGACATCCATTGGAGTGAGAGCCACTCCAAACTCAGCAAGGTCTGGATGACCTGGCGCCATGCCTTCAACCATCTCGGAGGAGCTGGTCGCAACATCTGCGACTGCGAGAACGGTGGATGCTTTCTTGGGCCTCGTAAGCTGACGAAGTGCCGGCTCTTCAGAAACAATCTCTGGATGAGGATCGTGCCAAAAACGTTCATCAGACAAAACTTGCCAAACAGGGTTGCGATGAACATCCGGTGGGAAACATGCAATGTCAACGGTCAAATGACCATTCAACTTGCACAACGGAAGCAAAACATCAATGACACCAAAGTAAATGCTTGAACTTGCAATGTCAATGACTGCTTGCATCGTTTCAAGAAAAACATTGGATGCCAACAATGGGATGTTTGTTGCGATTGCACTTGCACCAATCACCATCAAATGATCTCCAAAAGAGACCGGCATGTAAACTCGGTCCTTTGCCTGCGTAGGTGCCCCACTGCCGAACTGAAAAGCCTCAGACGACGGCACCGTCTTGCAACGAAGTTGATGCTGATGAAGCAATGCTTTGTACCCGTCCAACCAGTTCAAACCCGCACATGTCCTCTGGCAAGCGGTGTCTATGACCATCTTCCCATGCAAAGGTGCACCTGCAACACAAACCTCATGAACCATCAATGTAACGAAGGTGAAGAAGTTGGGAACCGGTGCATCCTCCTGGTGGTGGCTGGTTGTGGACCCGTCAGGATGGTGGAGGCTCATGTACACCTTTTTCGGCGTACTCTTGCTGCCGTCTTTGGATTTGCCTTTGCCATCAGATTTTCCTTTGGAACTCTTTGGGCATTGGCTGTCTCCACTCCAGTGACCTACCTGTCCACAAGCAGCGCATGTACTTGTCTTCTTTCGCTCTTCAATCGACTTGGATCCACTGAACTTGCGCCCCAATGTAAGCGACTGCAACTTCTTTGCTGTCACCGTGAGGACCTCGGCAATGTCTGCAAAGGACTCTTCCGGCGCCTCTTCATCGGCCAGTTCCTGCTGATCGTATTGATCATCTTCTTGCTCGGCCTCATGTTCAGCTTCGGACTCATGAGGATCGTCTTCCTCTTCAATGGCTTCCAGCTGGTCGTCTTCGACCTCAGTGACAAAGGCGTGTTTGGCTTTGCCAAAGCCTTTGCCCTTGCCTTTGCCTTTGAAGCTTGAGGAACTCGATGAAGTACTTGTCGTGGATGAAGTCGATGGGGATGTGAAACTCTGTCTTGTTTTGATCGGTTGACCGTCCTTGCCAAACAACTGAGGTGGTGACTTGTGCTCCGGAAAACTCATGCACAAACTCTCAACGATGGCCTCATAGGCAAGGTTGTAGGCAGAACCGATCAATACCAATCTTTGGTTTTCTGGGCTCAACCTGCTTCTCTCGAGCAATCTGTTGCCTCGAGATTCGTCGTCGTACATCCCACGGATGTCGACGGAGACACTCTGCAGTGCTTGTTCAGCTCGTCGATACCGATTTGCGAAAGCCCTGACCGACTCCGACGGTTGTCGAACAATGCTTTCGTAGTCGCTCATCAGCTTCCGCTTCTGATAAACGAGACGAGTGGCCAGCCCTGATTTCAATGTTTGCTCAATGTACTCAATGCCTTCCGATGATGCCAACTTGTCCAAATCACAATGTTCCAACTCTTCTTCAGCCTCTCCAGTCAGGCTGGAGTAAAGCAAAAGCGCAGCGTCTTTGCGACTCATGAAGCTGGTGATTTGACGTTTCCAGATTTCCAGCTTTCTCTGCCACTTGGGAAAGCTGCGAAGATCATCTTTGGCATACTTCCAGGCAGGTGGTGGTGGTGGAGCTCCTGAACGATATCGAACTCCTCTTTCTGGTCCCTTTTGGGAGTTCCAAGAAGACGAACCTACAGAGCTCTTGGACGCTTTGCCACTGCCACCTTGGTCAACAGCACGCTGCAATGTGCGTACCAACTGTGCCAACTGCCTTGTCAAATCTGCATTGCTCTGTTGTTGCTGTTGTTGCGACTGGCCATCAAACAATGTACCATGCACTGCATTGCTCAATGTATCAACATTGCCAACTCCAACATCTTGTCGTGCTGCAATGTTCATAGCTCGATTCTGGGCTCTTTTCCTGGATCTGCGGCTGCTCCTCGACGTGGTGCCTCCGATTCAGCCTGCTCTCTGCTCTCATGGAATGGTCCCTCATGAGGTGAAGCATGGCCAACACGTGTCCGGTTATGATCGAACGCCTGCGACGTCGTGTCCGGCAGAGGGTCCAACGGAGGCGGATCTGAACCTGAACCATGGGATTGGGATTGCCGGGGGACATACATCCAAACGCCATTGTCTGTCTCTCTACGCTGGGATACAACAGCATTGTAGTAGTCTCCACTGCGGCAACTAGCGCATTTCCATCCCTCACCGGTCCAAGCAAAGGTGTCGTTCCCACAACTCCAACAACGCCAAGAGGGTTCCGAGGCCGTCTCAGAAACAGGCGAAGGGTCATCGTGGTCCTGGGGATACTCACCAGCGTCACCAAGCTCGGACAGAGCCGAGAAGTCGAACATCAGGCTCCGGTGCCAACTAGTGGCCCCTCGTGCAATGGGATGAAGGGCACTACAAAGGGGTGGTGGAACCAAACGCGGTCATGGCGCCACCTTTTATGCTAAAAGCGGATGCTTGGCTCGGGCCCTACGACCAACGGGAATGAGGGTCAACAGCAGCTAATGCTCATGCCATTGAACTTTCACAGATGGATCCAAATTTGGGGCATTCAAAAAAGTGCCCATGAAGTGATGCTTTGCAGAATGTACTATGCACTGCATGCAACACATTACATCAAGAAGCTTCATGCTAGATTGAATGAATTTATGGGCGGTTTTGTTTTTGCCAGGCCCCAATGTGGAGGTGAGCAAGACAGTCCTCCATATCGCTAAGTTGTACGGAAAGGGAGTGTCTTGTCTATCCCAAAATGACCAGTCATGTGCCTTGCATATTGTGTCAACAAACAGGGATTCATTTGATACCGCTTATTGTTCAATTACTGCTTCGACCAAACTATACGGTTCTTGCAGAATCTCAGGCAAGTGCTTTGGATTGTGTGGAAGAAGCGCAAGCTGCTGTGAAACACGATCGCTGTCCCATCTTGCAACAGATTGCCAAAGCGAATC